GAAACAAGTTCCGGCTCATACGAAGCGTCCAGAGCATCACCATCCGTGGTTCCCGGTTTGGATTGCCCAAAGCCCCCGCACCCCCCAATCCAGACCCACGTTTTCGTCGCGAGACTGGGGGTGTGGGCAGGCAGGGCAGGGCGTGTTTGGGGACCGCCCTACAGGCCGCTGAAATAGCTGCTACTCGGGGCCCTGGAACCTCCACGCCTCCTGGAGGCTGCAACCCCCTACCGCGGATTTCGTGTTCTGCAATCACACGTAACGCTTGACTTACACGTAACGCTTGACTTACGCGTATCCGAATCACTACAGGATTGTTTTGGGGGGATATCCGTGCAGAAGGCTGTTTACTGTGAAAGCCCATACCTCACCGCCACCTCTGATCCGCACTACTTGGGACTCTACCACTCTTGCGAGGATCTACGTCACCATCTTGGTCGACGAAAACCACCTCATTATCCTCAGGCCAGTCGCGGTTGCGGTCAAGGTACAGTGCAACTGGGAGAAACTGCTGTACTGGAACATCCACCCCAACATCCGGGATACGGAAACGATCCCACATCCCCTCATCGATATGCTGGGAAAGATCAATCTCACCCTCTTGATCGGTGAACTGCCTTCGCATCTGATTCCAACGATCAACCTCGAGCTCACAGCTGTGCAACTGAGTCATCCATCGCACCGGCAGGGCTGACGTGTCTAGCTCGGGGGAGGGTCCTACAATCTTTTTGCATACGGGCATGGCCGCTGGGCGATCTGCTCTCGCGCATACCGCAGGACACCACGCTGACCGCACGGCAGACTTACCATGGATTCTCCGCCTGGGCTTAGCTACGCCGCCGCCTTCATCCTCCACAACCTCTGCCTGATGTGGGTCAGAAGCTTCCGGATCGGATTTCAAATGCACAGTGTTCGTCACCAGAAGCTCCTGCGTCAATTCTATCAGAACCAGATAACCCTGTGTTGTAAAGGGGGCTACACCCACCAAGATACCAGGCACTGTGCGCGGTGACCACTGCTGATCCGGCATGCGCCAAGACCTGTCGCGAGCCTCTACCCTAGCACCAAACGGCAGTAATCGAAGTTGTGGACAACCTAATTGCTCCAGCGTGCTTCGCCATCTGCGGGTTACCGCATGTCGCACCGCAAGAGGCCAATATCTAGGAGGCAATGATGCAGATTCCAACAATTTCCTAGCCGCGCCCTTCACCCAACCTATCGCCGATTCTGCCCTACCATTCGCTGCGGAATCCTCTCCAGCCGTCAAGTAAGGCTCAACCCCTTGAGCTAAGAGCCACTGCTTGGCCCTGGCACCTCTGAGCACCACTGCGCGATCCGACAACACCCTGTAAACAGGAACACCGGCAGCTCGACACTGCGCAAACATGGCTTGGAGGCCTTGCAATGCCGCTGCTTCCGTACGACTCACGATGGGTTGCGCGAGGATGAGGGTCTTGTATGGCATTTTGGGATGACTCGGAGGTTCCTTCCCTACGCCCTGACCCTCTGGATTTTCAGCCCTTGGCGGGCTCTCAAGCGGCGGCGGATCGTCAACTAAATCCCCAAGAAGCTTTCCAGCATCATCGAACCCTAGCTCGCTGAAGCTCGGCTCCTTCTGGGTGTAACTCCTCCGCTATGTCAAGACCTTGGTCCTGTTCCAAACGCAAATCCTTGGTTGGAAAAGGCGCCCTGAAACCTCTGCCCCTAGGAACTGCGACAACCTCCCCCGGAACCACAAGTCACTCTAGTCCTGGGTCGAAGATGCGGTCTGCTTCTTCATCAGCACACCCCTCAATTGGATCTTCATCCTCCTCAAGGGCTGGAATGGCAATGGCTCCCACAATGAAGTACGCAGGCGCTTGCTCTAGATCCACTCCACGACGGAATGGACCCGCAATGTCACAAGACAGGGTGAACATGGCTTTATCCTCTTGGCGAGGGTGCTTACGTTGACGCGCTGCTCCTCTCCAACAGATAGCACATCCCTTCCTCCAGGGAAAATGGTCAAGGGCAGCAAGCTCAGCATATGTTTGCACCTTTCCCAAAAGGAACTGTTGCCTGTCTGCCACCTTGCATGGATTGAAGCCTTCCGGACCCTTGGCCCAATCTTCAAGTGCCGTGTGCACTGGTTTCCACATGCCTGATGGCCAAACCGGCTGAGCACTCGCCCTAAGGCGGTCCCACCCAAACCTGCTAACGCTAGGAGCAAGCCCTTCGCACAACACCTCATGCAGCTCCTCCCACAGGAACCAAGAGTTGGTCAACATGACACTGGGCCCTATGACATTCGCTCCAAAGCTTCCCTTGTCAAACCGGGCTTGGTATCCTTCGTTCAACTCAACCCAAGAGCGCACTTTTGAGGAATCCCAAAAAGAAGGTGTTTCGAGTTCACCCAGATCCCTGGCGCCGACGGCGGTTTGCGTAACGGCAAAGAAGACTGGACAGCTGGCATTGTGAACATACGATCGGAAGCACTTGCTATGGCGTGCAGAAGGGACAGCCGAAGGAACCTAATTATTCCCTTGCCATCCTGGTCTTCGAAGGCCCCGACAAACCCTCCTATCCGACCCCGTTCCGCTAGCTCTAACAACGACGCAAAGACACTATCCTCGCAGATGTCAGTCTCGCGCTCGATGCTACAGCTCACCACCTGTGTTGACCCTGCAATCTGAAAATCGCCTCGAGCCTTCAATCCCAACCTAACCATCACACAAGTCGCACGCTCCATGCTTCGCCGCCATCTGCGATTCCAACGACTAGCATGCGTACTACAGATTCCGCTTGCGGACACCAGATCGTCATCTGCAACCTTTGAAAACACACTCCTCAACCATGCTAGCCTCGCCTCGAAACCTAGCTTACCTCGGTTGAGCGTGCCCCCCTCAACCAGCCTTGAGGATCCTGGATCGATGCGCCAAGTGCCTTCGCAAGTATTGAAGCCTCTGCTTCAATCTTACACGCTTGCATTGGAGATCTTGGTTTTCCCTCAGCAACTGATACGCATCTTCCTCAGCGACCGTTGGCGACCCGTTCTCAACTATCACCTCGGGCGACGGTCGAGAAGGGTGAATCACCTTGCATCGCTTCCGTTTCCAATACACCCGATACCCAAGCTCAGTCAGATAATGCATTGGCACGATTGGTTGTATGGGCTCGGCGACAAGGAGGATTCCATGTTGTGTGATGGCCATCCTTCTTGACCCCGCCGCTAGCGAAACCTCAATGGTCCTGGATTCTGCTATCTCCGAGGTCGTGCCTTGCCTAAGACCGTTCGTTGCCCCACTATCTAGCAGACCCCTGCAACCACCCGTGGTTGGTGATTCCGCTAGCGCCCTCTTGAATGCTGCACATACTGACAATCGCTTCACGTGCAATTGACTTCAAGAGCTGAGTGGCTTCCGAGATCAACTGCTGTTGGGAAGGTTGCAAATTGCTCTGCGCAGCGGTCTTTGCCTGAGGTTTAGCAGTGCCGGCATCTGCTGCACGTACCGCGGATTCACCTCCCTTTGGATTAGGGTTCGGTCCCTCAGATGGCTGCGGCGCCACGGTACAATCGCCCTGCTATTGATTCCGCTGCCCACACCCCAAGCACCGGTTCTGCTTTCTTGCCAAGGTTTTATTGTGGAAATTCGGACAGCCATGTCCAAGCTTACAGCCCTTCCCCTCATTAAAGAAGGCACAGAGGTTCTCCTTCCTCTGACCTTCTGGGTGGGTTTTAGGGGAATCCTTCTGACCACCATCCGGTCCCTTGGGTGCTGCATTCGCTGCGCTTCCCTTCGTTTACCTTTTGGCTCGTCCGCCAACTTAGCCTTCTTTTCTGCCGACTCCCCCGCAGTCAAGGCCGCCGCCTCAAACTCGGCCTGGAGTAAACGAACCAGTTGGCAAACCGTTCCGACCGTTGGGTTATGATCGATTGAAACCCGATGCCGAAAGGAATTAACCCTGAATGCAATGGCCGGGTGCTCTGCAAGCAAATCCTCTGCGGCTAGATCGATGCCGCGGAAAAGTAAACTTGCGTCTGGCAGGCTGGCACGCAACTCCTGGATGCGCAGGATCCACTGCTGCCACTTCCTAGGGATGGTACATGCTTGGCTCAGCTGCTTTATGGCGTCTGGAGCTACCACAAAGGACAGCAACATGGACCTCTCGCTAGCGCCGCCTGGCTGATATACGCATTGGATGCGGAAGATTAGCGCTTCAGATGAAAGCCAGCGGTTACTCACGGCCTCATCACGCAGGTTTTGCGGTATCGCTGCCAGGATTAGCGATACCGCTCTGGATTCGACTCGTTGGTAGCGGAGGCGGTCAAACCTTGTGGTCTAAATGACCCTTATAAAAGTTGACGTTGCGCTTTTGAAATGACCCTTATTTTAAGGTACGTTTGAAATGTCCCCTAAATCTGGCTCCTGGCCCTTCTCTCAAGAAACCTCAGGGGCGACAGGTAGGTAAACCAGACATGCAAACAGTCTTGCATGTGTGATGTTGTCATGATGCCGTCCTGACTGTACACCTGCATGCTCATGATGCGTAGGTTTTGACCGATGTGCGAGTAGGTGAGCGTGTGGAAAAATCCCTAATCTCCTGAAACTCCCTAAACTCCCTGGAAAAAACCCTAATCTCCCGAAACTCCCTAAACTCCCTAAAACTGTGCTGTCGAGCTGTGCAAGGCGTCAGAAGTGGCCGCTCATGTTTGTGCAGCTGTGCAGGGCATGACAGTCATGCAGAAGTGGCCGCTGATGTGTGCAGCTGTGATCACCGAGCATTCTGCAGTCGAAGCATGCAGGGCATTTTGCATGACAAATCTCAGAAGACCGAAAACAAATTCCATGCATGGACAGTCCCTGCATGCTGTGCGCGTGTCGTCCATGCATAATGGGCGGCGGTGGCTGCGTGATTTCGCTGCAGGATTGTTTGTTGTTAAAGTCTTGATTTCTGCTGCGCAGTTCGACGGGTCTGTGTGTGGTGTCGCTCTCGCAGGACTTTGTGTGGCTGTGGTTTGGATGTGGGTATGGAAACAAGATGTTGGTGCAGGACTGAAAAGCCGCGGCTGTAAACTGCTTTGCTTTAGACTCACCATTGGGTGTTGAAGGATTGATCAAGGCCTTCGAGCTCCTCGGTGCCGCATTCTTTCGTTCGCAGGACTGCTGCCTGTATGATCGTTTGTTTTTTCGCAAGATGTCATTCAGAGATGGCCGGGTTCAGGACTCTCTGGCCCGGGATGCCTTGCATGAGATAAAGGACTGCTGGCATGATTGGTTTCAGTCGTGGCTCGACGCCAAACGTGCTGATTGGAAGGACCGTCGATCGAGTGGCCTTCGCGACCCTGTGTTGCAAGGACTCTTGGTGGACAATAAAAGAGTTTCCAGTGTGTGTGTGTGTGTCGAATTTCGATTGAGTTCCGGTCTGTTGCATTCAGGATGCCTCGGCCTGCCAGATACAAAGCCAAGCTGTGCCGGCTCACCAAAGATGCGGATGAACCAGGTGCCTATGTTCTGCATGCTTGTACGCTTGCAACATGATCAGAGCCACGGCAGCCACGGTTGTTGTAGAGCATGTTTCTGTGAGTGGATTTGGACATGATCACCATGCTGCTTGAGCTGAGCTCGTCATGTCGTCCATGATCGAAGGCTGCATGGTGCCGCATTGTGCAATCACACAACATGTGGCTACAACAAATCACTCCATGAGATGCCCTGACTTGGAGGTACCATGTAGGATTTGTAGTTGGAGCTGTGACTATAGCCATGGCTTCTGTGATTCCTGAAAAGGTTCATTTTGAACCAGGCAGCGAAGCTTTGAAGGTTTCTTCTGAGCTCTCTAGGGAGCCCTCCTTGATCACGGCATCTTCGCTGAAAGTTGTAAACTTCATGCAGATATTGAGCAGATTCAGCCGCTTTGGAGTTCGAATTGCGACATTGTTTGTGGGTCCAATTAAGGCAGGGCTGAACATGATCATCGATCCGAGCGGGAAGCTCCTCACGAGGCGCAAGGTTGTGACGCGGAAGGATGTGACTGCAAATCCTCGTGCTCCCAGTCTGCATTCAATTATAAGGATCATTTGTGAAGGCCGTCTGTGGAGCAAATTGTGTTTGCATGAGCATTATAAGGTCATTGCAGCAGCCATCCGGGGGCAACTGAAGGCTAGGAGGAGGCAGTCTTCGTACATCTATATGGATGCAGTGCTCCACTTTGTTAATGAGAACAAGATACTTCCACGTGGAGTGTTGATTTCCGCTCCCAGTGCGCAAGACTGGGCTTGCAAAGTTGGAGCAGCCATCCGCAAGTTGGTTCCGCATCTTGAGTTATAGATTATAGAGGTTCATGTGGCAAGGAGTGAGTGCTGGGGTTCTTGTGCGGTGGTCTGATCGACTTTCGTTTGAGGTTACGAAGTTCAAGACTCTGAGTCGCCGAGCAAGATCCTCACGCCAAGTGCAACTTCGGCAGATGAAAGAGGAGCTTGCGCCGTTTCTGAATGGTGATGTGACTTGGATGCTAGATTGTACACTCATATATTATGCAGTGAGGGGGTGATTTCATTCCTCGATCAGAGAATCCAAGGATTCAGAGGAGGAGCCCGACAGTGCAAGCGAGGATGATTGTGATGATGGCTCTGCCCTAGAGTCCTTGGCCACCCATGAGACAGCCTCTGTGGTTTCTCTGCTGCACACACATAAAAATGCATGTTCATGACCAGCTTGTGTTTTGTAGTAAATGTTGCTCCGGTCTTGAGGTCGATGACTGCTCTACGGTGACGCCTTCGTTTTACATTCCTGCCCTCAGCCCCGATATGCAGTGCCTTTGAAAGCAAGTTGTTTCGTTCTGTCGTTGTGAATTTGGCTTTCATGCATGCATGACTATGACCCAGGCTGGTCTTGGGCAAGCTGCAAGCCCGACAGCGACAGCAGGATGCTGCTGCTTGTGAGCCTGTTAAGAATGAGAAGCCCCAAAAGGATCGAGGTGAGGCGCAGGTCAAAATGCTTCCCCAAAAGGCTCCTTGTCCGACTTGCCTTTAATTGCAGTGCAGTGGCAGTTTGTGTGATGGCTTAGTCGATTTGGTCCTGCTGGTTCTCTTTAGCTGAGGTGATGGAGAGCCTGCAGGGCCTCTTGGCTTCCAAGA